AGGTGCCAGAGAAACAGTTCCTTGACTCTGGTGATACCAAACTTCAGAGGTATCTCAAGGGGCACAGTATTGAGCCTGCCTGGCTAAAGAAGGCTTTGAGACTTTTCAGGGAGGAGATTTACAGCTGACTTGAAGATCTGGAGTAAATTGGCTACAGAAACCATGACAGCACTGTCTCTGCTCCTTATAGTGGATGGGTTTGTATACTGAACTGGAGGGGGAGGTGGGGAGGGATGACCTTTTGACAGACGACTTCACATAAGCAGTTAACCTTGCTTGGGACAAACCAGTGCTGAAATGTGAAAAGTGAATAGTTGAAAGTTTGTGGAGCAGCGCTATGAACTTGTCATGCAGCAATAGTTGCTGGCAATTCTTTTAAAGACTACCTGTCTTTTTAGAAAGAGAATCGGACTGAACTAGATAAACGTTCTGCATTGATGGCAATGCAGGACTTTGTTTAAAAGCATAAGCTGGAAAAAGCTGTAATAGATGCTCTGTGTATAGGTTTGGCTTGACTGCTTGTTGTTGATGTCGTTCTATTTTTTTTGATTGAGACTTCAGCCTGACTGTGGGCAGCACACTGGGCTACGTAAATACTGCCAATATGTGAATGTGTAGTATGTATACATGGCAACTATTCAGTAAGTTTATATTAGCAGTGCTTATAGAACTGAAATGAAGTGGTTCTTAAGTTTTATTAAAAAATAAGGTTTTCATGACACTGCTGAACTTACCTATTGATATTAACTTCTTCCCTTCCTGCAAAAAAAGTGGGCAGATCAGTAAACAGCAATAGAATAGAATCATTTTGGTTGGAAAAGACCTTTGAGATCCTTCAATCAAGTCCAACCATTAAAATAGTGCAGTATGTGTATGTTCAAGCAAAAGATTGTTTGGTCTCTCTCCTATATCACAGGATGCTATTTGTATGTATGTAAGTATTAACTGTGGAGTTAGAATTAAGGTCTCTTCAGGTAGGTAATTCCTGTCCGCAGCTCAATTAAAATAACAAGGTTAAACAGCTGTTTGGTGCCAAATACTGTTTTTAGAGGGCTGTGCAAAAGTGATTTTCTATTTGAAACATGATTTCAATTTAACTTCTGTGCTTGGTTTCCTAAAATAAGCAGCTGCAGACACTTAGTGTAAAATAGTTAACATGTTTAATAGGAATGTAAATGTAACCCATGACACTTGAATGGTACCACACTAGTGATACTGCAGACATGATGTATCATGTCAGATATTCCTGTTAATATCCCTGTTGTAAATCAGCATGATGTGCTCTAATGGTTGAGAAGAGGACAATGAGACGGAGGTAATGATCAGCATGTGATCTTTTCTTTCTAGGCATGTCAACCCTTTTTACATTCAAGATCTCTAATTTTTATATCTTAAAACACTTGTAATTAAACTTTGAGATTTTTTTACCCTAGGATTTATGAGCTTGTCTTTGTAGTGAAAATCTGTTTGTTTTTTTCAAATAGAGAATTTTTGCTCCTTGTTAACTGTATTTTCCATTAGGTAGAATCTCCTTAACTTACCTTTAGTGTGCAGTTTTTTTGGTGATTTTTATTTGCTCAAAAATGAGACTGCTTAGTACTTTTTTGAAAATCCTAGGGAGTTGTGTAAGCATGGGAGGAAAGGAATTCCTTTTTGTGCTGTGGCAGCAGAAAAATGAAAGCTTTTGCTAGGAATTACTTGCTCTGATATATATATATAATTTCGTATATATATGGTAGAAATCATTACTACTTTCTAAGGGAGTTGCATATTTTAAGACTGCTTTCAGTCCAGAAGTCTCAAGTAGTGGCTTTATCAGGACCCTGTGGTCCTGATTTATTACAAAGTTCTGCAGAAATCGGACTGGAGTACCTTGCATGGTATTTTTTTTTTCCTTAAGTTTTCTAACATCAGATGCAAAGGGAGCAGCACCTCTTCTGCCTCTCTCATATCAGCCCACTGGTCGTGCTATTTGCCTTTGGCTTGTTCCAGTCTGGGGCAGATTAGGGTTTAACAATGTTGTGTGCTCTCAGTCAAAGCAGGAACAGGTTGTAGTTTGCAGTTCTACATCTGACTGTGCCAGTTTGTAGCTTCTGATAACATTATACCTCTTGGGGAGTTTTGAGACTTTTTGGAGTGCACGAAGAGTGTGGACACCAGCAAAAACCCAGGACTTTGGGCACAGACAGAGAGCAGGGAAAAGGAGAGTAAGTTGCTCTGTACAGAATGGGAATTGTATATTGACCATGCCTGGTGCTTTCAGTTCAATGTATATTTTAAATTAAAAAAAAATAAAAAAAAATAAAAACACACAAGTGAACTGGAAATCCCTGACATAATACAAAGAGAGGAAGAGATGTTTGGTGCCCGGGAAGGTATAGTGGAAATCACGCAGACAGAGTAGAGTGAGCTGAGAAAGTGCTGTGCCATCTGCTAGATAAGCTGTAGAACAGATTACTTACTACGATGCTCCCTTTAAAGGCAAAACAGATAGTTAGAATTGTGGTACTGAATTGAAAACAAGTATGTGGGATTGACTTCTCGCATTTAGTTCATCTGGTACAGGCACTTGCAGCAGAGAGCAATTATACTTTATCATTCCAATTCATCTTTGTTTTGCTCTGAGGATGAAGAGCTACAGCCGCTTTTAAAATCCCTCAGAGGAGATTGGGGAAGATTGTTGCATGTATATACCTGTGCTAGCAACTTCTGATGTGGATAGATAGGGAGAGAATATTGCCTGTTTGTCCTTCAGTTTTCATGTTATCACAGTGTGACTAACCTGTGGTGAAATCCTTTCACTTGCAAGAGAGGATTTCAGTGTGCACGGAACTGTCACACAGGTGTGCCTCCTTGTGGGGCTCTTTCAGGTGTCCCTGAAGGTAGATGTTCTTGTTTTCTCTGAAGACAATATGTAGTCTGGAATTTGGTTTGCTGGCTTCTGAAGTAGTAACAACCTGAAAGAAAACCTTTTGCAAGAGCAGCCAGCCTGTCTTGCATTGTGTATCCTATTTGCCTGGGGTGGTTTTGACATTATTCCTGTCATGCTTTCTTTTTTATTCTTATATATTCTAGAACTTGCTTGATATTTCTGCATTTTAAATTAACTAAGCATATATATATATAAAAAATAATCTCATGTCTGTCATTTTATTTCCCTGGTAGCTGTCTCAAATGATCCTATCCATCCATCATCTCAGGCTGTCTTACATATATGTTATGCACTTGGGCAGGGGTAAGAAGATAATTACATGCAGAAGCCCTTCAGGGTATTAAACACTCAAACAGAATGGATTCTTTCTATTGCCAAGGTGAAGGAATTGCTGGTGAAAAGAAAGCAAATTCAACTGAAATACCTTTATTGGAAGTTGGTTTTGTGATGGTCTCTTCCCCAGCACTAGCAGTTGTAGTGGTAGCAGTGTTGTCAAACTTGTTGATTAATGCTCTAGTTAGCTTATAAATCCGTAAGTAGCATTACAGCTGTAATGATGAACTATAGGAGAGCTTCATAACACTGAAATGGAGTATGCTAGTTAAGACAAAGCAAATCTTTGGTTTTGATCCAATAGCTTACCTGTACAGTTACAATTTCATGCTTTAAAAAAGTGGTAAGAGGGAAGATATGACAGTGTGTTTCTATGTTTTCCATGCTGTTCTCTAGTGTT